CCTCAGACCATGACTCTTCTTCCCATGCCCATGCCCACACCCACGCCCAATTGATCAAGAGACCCTCCCAGTGCTACACACACATGCACATACACTCAGTCAAATATGTATTAGGCATCCAGTATGTGCCAAGCAAAATTCTAGACACTTGAGATACATGGGTTAAAAAACCCTCCTTTCAACTTTCCTAATTGATCAAGGGAATCTATAGAAAACCTAAAGCAACATCACCCAGCCTGGTAAACTGGAAATTTCCCTTCTGAGAGGAAAATGGCAAGGATGTCCACTTTCACCACTTCTGTTCAGCACAAAAGCCATGTATGCTTTAGCAGTACAGCAAGGCAAGAAAAGAAATAAAAGGCACAGAGTTGAATGAAAGATATAAAACAGCTTATTCACAAACATGATAACGCATGTAGAATATCATAAGGAATCTATTTAAGAAAAGTACTAGGCCCCGCCAGGCGTGGCTCAGCGGTTGAGCGTCGACCTAGGATCCAGGCGATCAGGGTTCTATTCCCGGTCAGGGCACATGCCCAGTTGCGGGCTTGATCAATGACCCTCTCATCATTGATGTTTCTATCTCTCTCTCCCCCTCTCCTTTCCTCTCTCTGAAATCAATAAAGATATATTTTTTTAAAAAAGAAAGAAAACTACTAGAATAGGTAAACATGACAAGGTCACAGAAGCAAGGTAAGTATATAAAAATATATTTCTGTATACTAACAACAAGCAATTGGAAAATATTTTATATATACATCCCATAATATAGCATCAAAAGCATCAAATACAATGAAAGATGGGTAAGATTTTTTGCAGAGGAAACTATAAAACACAGTTGGAAGAAACCAAAACTAAATCAAATGCAGGATATACCATATTAGTGGCCTGGCAGCCTCAATGCTATAATGATGTCAAAGCTCCCTAATCAGTCCAAAGGCAATGCAATTGCACCCAAAGTTCCAGCAAACTGGAGATAGAGGGGATGTGTGAGAAAGTGACAAGGTGATTCTTAAATGTACATAGGTGGGCAAAAGACCAAGAACAGCAAAATAGCAAGGTCAATTTAAAGAGCAGTGCTGGAAGACTTAAACCACCAGATGCCAAGACTTAAGACAAAGCTACAATAATTAAGACAGTATAGCCCAAGAATAGACAGAATAAGGAAAGAGAAGAGTCTGGAAACAGAACCACAAGTCTACACTTGACTTAAGACAAAGGTGGCACAGAGGGCAAGAATGGTCTTATCAAGAAGCGCTGCTGGGTAACTGGATATAAATAGGGGGTTGGGAAAAAATATGACTCCTCCTTATATGATACACAATAATTATTTGCAGATAAGCTATACATCTATATGTGTAATTGGCAATCTACAGTTGCCAAAAATTGGAAACAACCCAACAGTAGAATATATAAATAACAGTATATAAATATAACGGAATACTATATAGAAATGAGAACGAACAAACTATTGTTAAATGTGCAAATATGGGGTTCTGAGGATCTGAAGTACAGCATGGTGTCTATAGTTAATAATACAGTGTTGTACACATAAAAGTTGCTAAGAGTAGATGGTAAGCATTCTCACCATAAGAAAAGTTAACTATGTGAAGTAACGGATGTGTCAATTACCTTGATTTTGGTAATCATTCTACAATGTGTATGTGTATCAAATGATCATGTTGTACACTTTAAATACATACAATTATATTGTCAATTATTCTTCAATGAAATTAAAAATAAATAAAAACATCCAAAACACCAATGCAACAATGTGAATGAACTTCGCAGACACAATAATGAATGAAAGATAAGGACTCTAACATAGAACTAGAATGTCAATTTCATAAGGGCAGGGGCTTTTATCCATTTTGTTCACACAATGATTCCATTTCCATATAATTCAAAAACACAATTTTGCTGTTGGAAGTTAGGCTAGTGATTTATTAGGCCAGAGAAACAGGCTGGGACCGGGGGGATTCTGAGAAACCTATAATGTCCCATTTCTTGATGTGGTTGGTAGGTTGCAACTTTAAACAGCTTAAGGTCAGGGTAGACCTCCCTGAAAAAAGAGACCAACTAGGTAAAGGTTTGAAAGACTTCTAACTACATCCACACTGACTGCTTCTCACTACCTCCACTGCTACCTCCACTGCTTGGATTACTGCAGTAGCCTCCTAACCTGCTCCTGTTTGTACCCTGCCTTGCTCCCTGAGCAATCTATCTTCAAGAGAAGCTAGAGAGATGTCCCTTACAGACAGACAGTTCATGGCACTTTTCTACTCCAAACCTTACACTCTTCTCAAAGTAAAAACCAAAGCCCTTATGGTGGCTTAAAAGGAAGCACTCCTAAACACACCAGGCACTTGCTGTTCCTTCTGCCTAGATCTCCCCTCCCCAGACTTCCATAAAGCTCAATCCCCATCTCCTTCCTACAGCTGCTCAAATGGTACCTCCCCAGTGAGGCCATCCTGCCACCCCATTTCAAACCCTAACCCTCCTCCCCACTCTACTCCCTAATTCTATTCCATGCTTTCTTTTTTTTCCCATAGTACTAACCACACAATACACTGTAAAATTCACTCATCTATTTACTGTGTATCTCTTCCAACTAAAGCACTAGCTTCACGCAGACAGGAATTTTTATGTTTTGTTCACTGGTGTATCCCTGGTGCCTAGAATGGTCCCTGGCACACAATAAAGCTTCAATTTAAAAAAACAGCCACATGAATAAATGAAATTTGGTTCCCTTCCTGAAAGCAATGAACAACTGAATGAAGCCCCTTCTGAAGAGGAAAGTGCTTTTTGATTAGAGCAGGTCCCAGTATAATGACCACACCTAACTCTTACATTAAGGAACATTCCACAGACATCGTGACTTTGTTTTCTCTCACAAGACAAAAGTCCCTATGAATAGGTAAGAAGTCTTTTCCTACCTGGTTTGTTCTTCTCAGGAAAACATTTGTCCATCAACCCTGCAATATTTTCTCTGTATCTGTTAAAAATTAAAGAATGAGTCACTGTTTGAAGCTTGATGCCATAGAAAGGTATTAATATTTAATAGCAGTAAATAGCACATTAAGCAGCACTGTGCTACATCCTAAATATGCTTACAGACATTCTTCTAAAATAAATTGAACAAAAGACCAAGAAATCTTGTCTAACAAGTACTTTCTTATTTCTACATTAGTATCAGTTAAAGCTACAGATCCAGTAACGAAATTCTCACTGGAAAACATGTGCCTTACGGTGATTCCCCAAAATAACTGGTAAATCTCCTTTACCTAATTTTGGAATCTCTAACATAGTTAGGATCTTTCAAATTATCCTCCCAAGGAAGATGGCCACTGAGCCACTGGATCATGCAGTAACCAAGTATTTCCAAGTCACCACGTCTTGATGGGGCTGTGAACACAAAAGAAGCAGATTAAGCACTCTGAAGTAGTGTTTAAGGTGCAATTTCAAGTATATATAAAGCAGTAAGGTAAAACAGTCAACTCTACAGCCTTGCTTCTCATCATAAAATTTTGACTGCATTTAATAAAAGTACTGAATATTGGATAGTATAAAAGAAATAATTTACCTCCGACCAATAATTTACTTTAAAACCCAAATTGGCAAACTCCAGAGTTTCAAACTGAGACTATTAATCTAGGAAATAAAATATAAAATAATGACACATTTAATATTGCCCTTGGAAAACCTGAAAGTATTAAAAAGGCTATGAGCTATTAAGAGGCCCAGAGAACTGGGGATTTTAGCTCCCCCACAGTGTTGTGCACAGAAAAAAGAAATGACTGCTGAAGAAACAGACCAGCTTAACAGGTGACAAAATACAAGTTTACCTGTTATAAAGTTGTAGCTGCATGAGAAACTTAAGATTTTTAGGGGGGAAACCAACCAACATTCTGATTAGGTTAAATGCAACCAAAAAGAAATCCTCACGGCAGCTGACTGAACCCCCTTCACTGCTAAAACCTTGGCGTCTCAGAAGCTAGGGGGACACAGGAGAGACCAAGGTACCTGTTATACAACTATGGGAGCCTGGCCTCCCCCTTTCCCCATCCCACCTTGCCTCTTCAATCTTCTCTACTTTGTTATTTATGCAGAACTAAGTACTGTGTAGGAATTTGGAAGAAAGGTTAGCTGTGTATTTATTTCTTGTTCAGCTGCCGCCAACGTACCCACGCCATTGTGCGCGTCAATGCTGGTGAATTCAATGGTGCCATCGTGACATCTTTTGGGGTCTTCCTTGTATTCTTTATGAATTCCTTCTGGGCAGTATCGATAAGCAAGGCCATAATCCACCAGGTACACCTATAAATTTCCAAGCACCAAGAAAAATTAAAGCCAGAATGGCTGCACATAGACTCCTTCAAAGGCCAGAAACTAAAAACTGCCACTTAATGGTGATTTCACTACAAAACCATACGACAGCACCCCAGACAAGTTAGGTCCTATATGCAAACAACAGCAAAGACTTAATTCTGAAAGATTCTTCATTTAAAGGAAAATATTAGATAACCATGTAGCTACAGTCCAGATAGTATCACCTGGTCTCTTCAACTTGAGCATGGGTTATAAACCTCATACTTCTCCTAACAGTCTGAAAAAACTGAGCACTAAGTAAACCATCAGTACTTGTTGCGATACAACTGCCACACTCGAGTATAATCCCGCTAACTTAGGTGGCATATGATACATTAGTTGTCTTCATTCCTCTGCTCTTCACTTGTAAAATAATCAAGTATCAACTCACTTCGTAGAAGTATTCCAGAATATAAAAATGATTTAAAGAACTTTCAGATGAGGCTCTTACCTACATTTAAATATTATATATTAAAGTCAAGTCTTCAAAATTAAAACTAAATTTTAATGTTATATACACACATATCTGTGGGCATGCACATGTGGGCCTGATTAGCATACAAATCTAATAAGCCTGGGGTTCTTCTATGCCTTAGTCTCATATTACATTCCTAATACTGGGAACTGCCTCACAAATGTATGCAGCTGGTCACAAGAGGGAACTGAAATAAAACTATGGGGATGGATCTAGCACATACATCTAATACCAGAAAAATAACCCCATCCAAAGCGCATGCCCAAAGAATAACAGAGCTGCAAGAGTACGTCCACAGAAACAAAGCAGCATTTTCAGTCGACTGCAATAAACTGAAACAGGCTGNATGCCCAAAGAATAACAGAGCTGCAAGAGTACGTCCACAGAAACAAAGCATTTTCAGTCGACTGCAATAAACTGAAACAGGCTATACTATTACTTATTATATTGCATAAGTCCAGTCTACTTCAATTAATGGAATCCTTATTGTTCAGGTTCTTAGCTGTGTTTTGTTTTTAATCTAAAACAAGATGGCTGGACACTCTGCGACAGCCTTTGAGATTGCTCCATCAGCATGCTTTAGTACAGCCACTTTCTCCTGTATATGCACATGGATCTCTACGGCCACCATAACAAAGACGGGGGAGAAGCAAATATACGAGTGACAGAAAAGAAAGAGGAGCTACAGAAAAAAAAGGAAAAACTGAGCAAGAAGAAGTTAAAGACAGGTCTGAGGAAAGAGAAATGAATGAGGAATACTGACATAAACATTTAAAATGCTTTGACAACCTTTTCTCATACAAGATCAGGTAAGAAGTGAGAACACAGAGAATGGAGTAAGTACAGTGGCCCAACAACGAAATGTCAACTAAACCTTACTAACCAAAATCATAGAAACAACTACGAGAAAAATGTATAGATCCCTTGACTCCAACTAAACTAACTCAAATAAAGGTAAAATAACATTAGCTTTCCTCCTTTCCCTAAAAAGTAAAAACTACAAAGGGAATGTAATGAACTAAAAAAAAAAAGCAAATTTAAATTTCAAACACTAAGGGCATACAAATTTAAGACAGCTAAGATATTTCTATAAACCAACTGATTTGAATAATCAACATGTTAAAGACCAAATTTTCCAAGTAACAGAACACTTACATTTGATGGATTTCTTGAACAAAGGAAATGAAAAAATGACAAAGCAGACAGGCAAACATAATTCATCGGTGCACTATATAATTTTAAGCTTCCACCCCCAAATAGCTATTTGAAATTCATTTTGTATCACAAGCACTTCTTCTGAATATTATTTAGGGCAAAATAGCCAACTTGATAAAGTGCCAACAAATGGCATCAAAAATGTAGAATGTTAACTAGAGAAAAGTGTCAAGAAAAAATATTATTATTACCATATCTACTTCAGAAAGTAAAACTTCTGCATGAGTTCGAAAGTTCAAAGCAACCATATCTGCTTTCAAACAACAGGTTTTAAATAGTAGAAATTAAAGTCATAAAACTACCTGGTCAGGATTCTTGCAGCTCAGAAGAAGATTTGAGGCCTTGATATCTCCATGCACATACTCGTGCTCGTGAATATATTCCAGGATATCAAGCTAAAAGCATCACATAGAATAAATTAGTGCAGTACCCAACACCAACCAGCAGAGGACTGAGCTTCAACATAATAGTTTTACTGGGTTAAAAACAAGAAACATGTAGCTCACATACAATTCTTAAACTTAGCTGCAAGACAGTTTTCCGAGAAAACCTTTTGGCATTTGCTTCATATATTTTCTGAAGGTCACTCCCGAAGCGATCCATTATCATAAATCTGTAACTGAAGACAAACAAGAAAAGTCAAAAAACAAAATACAACTCTGGAAAACTGACTTTGCAATGAGTACTCTCCTGTCAAAGTAGATTTTCAAGGCAATTTTTAGGAAGAAAGAAGAAAGGAAAGACAAACATTTGCAACAGTTTCTTCTAACTAGAATTCTCAAGAGCTACAGAGCTTTCCTGTCCTTGTACCCTGAGGCCTCCTCTTGGTCTCATCTAGTTAGAAGAGACCACAAGCAATGTAAGGTAACACCCACAGAAAGATCCAACAAATTCATTCAGAGTAAAGACAAAACAATCTGAGGAAGAATGATATCTGTGGTTTTTTTCTCGAAGTTAATGTATGCTTCTGGATATTAGCTTCCTTCCTGTCACTGCTTTTCTCTATTTTTAAGGCACATTTTAGCAATATTACTACCATTCTGTTTAAATCAAAACTGTCAAGAGATGCTGTAACAATAGCTAATTCAATAAAATTGCTAAAATGGTGCAAAAGGACTGCATATTAAATACTTAACAGACAAGATTTGGGAAAGAAGAAATACTCTGAAGAAATGTGAAGATACTTGGTTTTGCCACAAACCAACTATGTCACCTTACTCAAGTCACATTACTTCTTTGGATCCCAAATTCCACAGGGCCTCATGCTTTCAAAGGTCTTTCCTGGAATTCAAACTCTAAGACTCAATAACCATGTTCTATTTTCTGTGTGCACTGAAAAGTATCAATAGGTTGCAGTAACACAGATCATTTTTTGCTCTGAGGATCACTTTTGTCTCTATTAAGTTTTCCAGATCTGACTTGTTTAAAATACTCAATAAATCACTAAAAACCAAGACCAAGATACTAAAAATATATCAAGATATCTTCCGACAGGGGAAAGGTGAACAACCGTCATAATAACCGCAGCTAGCATTTACTGAGGCCTTGGCATGAGCACAGACCATGCTAAGCACTTCAGATGCACTGGAGCACCCGCCTCACTCGCATCACCGGTACGAGGTGGATGCTCCTGTGAGCCCCACTGTACAGCAGAAGAAAACTGAGGAAAACAATCTGTCCTCCAGCAAGTGGCGGAGCCATGCTTTTTACCACTACACTAAATATAGGGAAATAAGCATCAGCAGGACACAAACATCCCACTTACATGCTATAGGCTTCTAAAGTAAAAATACAGTATGATACGTTCAATCAGGAAGGGAGAGCTAACATTAAAGACAGCAAGCCAAAAAATAAATTCCAAATTCTACCTATTTTTGTACTAGAAGAGAATCAGAGATCTTGTGTGAACATCTTTAATAAGTAACTAATGTCTACGGAGGTAAAGTGATTTGCCTGAAGTCAAACAATTAGCCAGTGGCAATGTATTCACTCATTTAAGAGTTTCCAGTACCGCGACCTCTAAGGTAATAAAGAGGAAACAACAGTTTTGACTGCCTGGTTTCCCTTGTACAGCAGGTTTTCAAAGACTGAGGGATTACCAAGGACACGCGTAAATGTTTGTTTTTTACAAATAAGTGATGTATAAAATTATTATAAAATAATATATGGGTAACAAAAACATAACCTCTGTTAACAGTCTGAAAAGGGGATGAACCACAATTGCTTACCCGGAAACTTGGATAAACAACACAAATAATGGGAAAATACAAATCAGTATAAATAACTTAATGATAGCAGATAACAACTTTTTATGATCCTGATACTGTTCTAAGCACTATACACACACACACACACGTATATGTGTGTGTATATATACGTATATATGTGTGTGCATGTGTATATATTAATTCAAATCAGTTACAGGGAAAAGTAAGGATTTCTGGCACACACAAAAAGGACTTATATATCTTTACCAAAGATAAAGAACCAAAATGGTTGTTTTTAAAAGCGTCAACCTAAAAAGTAAATCAATATCTTAGGGGTCATTAATGCTCCATTTTAGAAGACACTTCCAGCAACTTCATGTCACAGAAGGAACAGGCTGGGAGGTAAGTAACCACTGGTAAATGCTGCGTTAAGAAGTAAACCCGAGTGTGTGGTTCCAGGGCCCTGCACTCCACAGCATCCTCTACTCCATACAGGGGTAGTTCTCCCCTGCAGCCTCCCTCAGTTACCTTAGTGTCAACCTTCAACCCCCACCACCTCCCCAGACCCTGATCACTTCACAGGGGCCACACGCACACAAGCCCTATCTAAATGGCTCTCTGCTCTATCACACAATAAGTAATAAGACTGTATAAGGTGCTATTACGGTATGGGTAACTGTAAGAAAAAGCACCATTCCCTTGCCCAGCTGGCTTGGCTCAATGGTTGAGCATCACCCTATGATCCAGGAGATTGCAGTTTGATCTCTGGCAGAGGGCGTGCAGGAGGCAGCCGATCAATGACTCTCCCATCATTGATGTTTCTCTCTCTCTATCCCTCTCCCTTCCTCTCTCCGAAATCAATAAAAATGTATTTTAAAAAAAGAAAGAAAGAAAAAGCACCATTCCCAAACCAAAAGAAGGAAGTAAGGAAGTAAGGAAGAGAGAGAGGCATGGAGGGAAGGAAATGATGATGATGATTGCAACTAACATTCCCTGAGCACATACTATGTGTCAGAAAAATACCCTTTACTAATTACATGTTCCAGTTTCATCTTCACAATAACTCCATAAAGAAACAGTAACTAACCCAGAACCACACTTGATGGAGTCAAATGTAATCTAGTTCAGTGATGTTTAGGTTTTACTGTAATATACTTTATTGTTGTTTAAAAAAAGTAGTTTATACTAAAATTCTGGGAGGGGAATAATTTTTTATTCTAAAATGCTCTAGCCTCAGCCACACTCCCCTTCCAATTATCTCTACAAAATGTAGTCTTTAACAGTGCACTGTTTCTTAGGAATACAATGCTGTACACTAGGAGTGCAATCAGATGTATCTGCTTTCTAGCGAATTACCTCTAAGGGTTTTGCTGCCCGCGTCCCCTCACAGGCTCCAATTCACCATGCACACTACATGAAACAAGTCTCAAGTGCCCTTTCACCACCTTGTCACTGGCCCTTGTTCAAGAGCTTCTTTCTCACTGTCTACTACACACAAAAGACAAACTGCTCTTCCCTCTGGGCTCACTATCTCTGCTCAGTCTCCTCCTCCAAGCTTTCCTCCATCTCGTTCACCTGCACACTCTCTCCTTGGTTGAAGAAGGATGGCTACCAGCCACACAGCAGCTGGAAGCCTATCCTGACCCCTGCTTGGGGTTACTCTCCCACTTGAGAGGCTATCCCTCCTCTTCACTGATTTTCTAACCAGTAGTTCTTAACATTTAAGGGATAAAAGAGCCCTCTAGAGTAAAAGCCAACATATATTTTACATATAATCTAGGAGCTTTACATTCAACCCCCTTTATTAAGTGCACAGCTGTTACTTTATCCCACAGATGAAAAAACTGAAGAAAGGAGTAACTTACCCAGTCACTTTAAAGAGCCAAAAACAGATTTAAAACCAGGTAGTCTGGCTCTTAACTTACTTAGTCAATCCTTGATCTACACTATTTCTCCAGAAAATTTCATAAAAATACAGAATCTTGTTCCAGCAAAACCATACATAACAAAGTGTTACCTCTATCATCTTGGGGAACCCCACATTCCCTCAGAGACACATGGATTCCAGAATCAGCACTTCCGAGGAAACGACACTGGCTCTCCCCCAACCACTATCTCTCCACTCCACCTTTTCCACCAGAGCCCCAGTCTGGCTCAGGCTTCTGTCCCTTCCACACGGCCAAATGCTTCACCACACGAGTCAGTGTGACTGCCTTGGTCACGCCAGTGACTGGTTTAAGAAGGACACTGATGAAACTCTGACCAAGAAAACATGACAGGAAGTCTGCCACAAGACTCCCAAGGGTTTCCATGCTAGGAACGTGAAACTCGCAAGAAGCAACACCATTTTCGGCTATGGGGTACTCTCCGTATATAAAGCCTGGAGATGCAGTAGCCACTGAGACCACACGACAGGGAGCACAGCCAGGGTGAGGACAGAAGGGCAAGGAAGAGGGACCTGCGCCCTTGATAATTACGTGAGGGAGCTCAGTCAGGTTCCTTTATTTGCAATGAAAGCGTTCAAACTCCTTCCAAACTACATCTATTCAAATTTTAGCTTCCAGCCTTACTCCATGAAGTGCTGTTCAAATATTTAAAAAGTATTGTTTATGCATCAAATTGCTGGAGGTTTTCTACAACTCAACTATGCCAGCAATATTCTCTCCATTCTCTGAACTCCTAACACCCATAAGAGTCAGAATCACAGAATTTACCATTTAACTGTTCTAATTGTTTCATACATGTTTCATGTTAGCATTTTTCTCACCAGCCAGACTAAAACCTCATAAAAACCAAGACACTACAGCAGGCAGATTATATATCTAACAAAATGCCAAATTAAAAGGATTCCCTTTTACATAAAGGACATGGAGTTTTTTGTTTGCTTGTTTATTTTTAAAGACAAAAAAATGCAAGGCGCATCTGGGTTTGTTTCTACCTGTCACCTGGGTTCCAGGCAGCTGGTACCACTCTGTACAACTCTCCAGACAATGGCGCCCCCTTCTAACAGTGCATCCCAATCCGCTGCTGTGGAAAGCAGGGGGCAGCCATAACATCTTGCTGGCCTGTCGCACACTCCACACAGCCCAGAGAAGGTGGAGCATACTGTAGGTGCTCAGAGTGTGATTCTTCACTAACCCAACTATACAGTGAATGCTCAAAAATAGAAGAGAAAAACAAAACATGTATATTTTTACCTTTTTCCATTTTTATCATGTAGACCAGACCCCCAGTATTTAGGAACACCCAGGTACTTCAGTTTATGGGTATGAATCCATTTCCGAACTAAAAATTAAAACAGATGCTTGTGATTTCAATTCTGACAGACATAAGTCTTTTAAATCATTAAGAGCAAAATGTACTTATACACATAAGATTTCACTTTTATTTATTCATAAACAAGGAAGTAAACAGTACTTTATGGCCCATACATAAGAAGTAATTCAAAACATTTTTATTAACCTACAATATTTTGTTATCCTGCCCTAAACATTGTCTTTACAATGAAAAATCTGCAAAACACATTCTTAAAAAAGTCAAACCACAGTACTGTAGTTGCAATTAATATCCCTAATTATGTAAATGTTTACCTGCTTCCACAGAAAGACTTCTTTTTCACCCCAACCTAAAGGTTTTATGCCTCATTCTAAAAGTCCTCAACCAGGAAATAAAGCTCTAAGAGAAATGGAAGGCTTTCTTGAGTTCGCCAAGCCTATACCATCCTACTAGGAGACTCCTTGGGTTCTTGGGTGGAGAGTGGAGGGGAGGGGAGGGCCCAGAGGAGCTAGAAGACGCCCTGCTCTTTACCTTGATAGTCTGCTCTATTTCATCAATTATGACACCCCAACCCTCACCCCTGGTTATGTTCTCCAGAGTTCAAAAAACTACCCAAAAAGATTTTGAGATCCTGGAGTCATACTCATGGATTAGAGTTATTTTTCAATTTTTAACATTTCCTAAATTATATATCATTACTAACTTTAGTCTATATGTCAATATAGGTAAAATCTTATAACAAACTCATTAAGAAATCAGAATTCTTTCATACAAATCTCACTTAAATAGAACATATTTATAAAGTAAAAAATAAAGAATCATAATATGAGATGCAATGCTCTAGTCTTTCCTTAAAACAAAAACAAAGCGAGCTGTGGTCACATTAAAAGTATAAACAGAGGTACTGTATTTCTTACTTTGCTCTGGTTTGGCAGCTCGCTGGTAGAACTTTAATTCAGTAAAAAGAGGTCCATTGTCACTGGGTTCCTTAAAACACAGGAATGAGTTAGTACTAGCAGTCGTCAAAATTATTGAGTTATTTTCAGCGAACCTTCAAAAAAGACTAACAAATCAATTTTTCTTATCAATGTAGTTTTGATACTTAAGTTTATAACTATCTTTAAGTCAAACTCTTTAGAAATATTTCAGGCATTCTCAGAATAGTCCCTAAGTATTATATTTCTCTCCAGTTCCAATTCTGTAAGTGATAAATTATACAAAATTAGATATACAGCTCAGTCTTTGCAAAAGTTCAAGAAAAATCTTTACACTTTTTATCTTTATTAAGTTTTTTTTTAAAAAAAGATGAGCAACCATGTTAACTGTTTCACCAAGAGGCTACAAGATATTTCTGAGATTTAATAAAATGTCAATACTTAACCAATAAGTGGCAAAATCCCATTCCTTTTGTGTTTCTCCTGACAATTATATAGTTTATCAAGACAGGCAGAAGCCAACCTTACCATGAAGAAGAATATTCTGGAACTGCAGTGATCAAGCATCGGCCTCTCCTTTCTGACACTAATTCCCATGTGTCAAACTAAGGGGCCCTACAATTTACTTCCCATGAGATAATTTAAAATCAAGAGGAGCCCTGGCTAGGTGGCTCAGTTGGCTGGAGCATCGTCCTGTGCAGAAGGCTGCAGGTTCGATTCCTGGTCAGTGCACACACCTAGACTGTGGTTCAATCCTTGGTTGGGGCATATACAGGAAGCAACCAATTGAAGTTTCTCTCACATTGATGTTCCACCCCTCCCCCTTCCTCTCTCTCTAAATCAATAAAAACACATCCTCAAGTGAGGATTTAAAGAAAATTGAAAGAATAAATAAATATAATAAAAAAGGAAAATGGAGCTCAGTAACAACTGTTTCCCACCAATTTTACTGGACTACATTCATTTCACATTTTAAGAGACATTAACAGTTAAAATTATCTGTAAAGCGGCATACACTCAAAAAATGGTATTTGAGAAGCAAGAAATAGTAGCAGCCTGTTGGGAGTTTTATCTTGTCAAATAAATATAGAAGGGTGGGTCAGATCTTATAATTTTTGGACTTTTTAAATAGAAAATACTGTCTGATTAAAATTGGTTAGTATTTATGTAATGTTTGCTATTCTGTGTTGGTAGTATCCTCTTTATTGAGAATCTGAGAAAACTTTTGAAAAGCAGTGAAAACTTCCAATGACGAAACTAACATTTCTAAGCTAATTCCAGAATTGCTTTTCTTTTAGGAAGTATGGGGAAAAGTTATTTTGGACAGAATATCTGTGTAGCTCCAGTTCAAGCGTCAGTAGAGCAGCAGAAGTGATAAACGAGGCCCATTACCTTTCCTGAGAGAATATTTGTGAAAATACATAGTTTTCAGCTATGCATTTTGCAAATACTTAAAATATGTCCTTTTTTCCTCATTCAAGGTACCCTGTCTTAGACGTTAATTTTTCTCCTTAAGGTTTAAATAAAGCCACTCTATACACACAGTTCTAATACCTCAGATTTCTTATAACTGAGAAAAAATAGGAATGCAAGTTAAAGTACTTAGAAAAACTACTGAGCCAATCTGCAGAATCAGGCAGGACCTAGCTGAGACTGAGCATTCAAAAGCAAAGAGGCAACATGCATGACACCTGGATCAGAACCAGAAAGTAAGCTTGCCTTGTGTGGTACAGATAAGTATACTTAAGCCTAGCCTCGGAAGAGTGGTATACAAGGGCTTGGCATATCATCACCTCCTAAGAAGCTGAATCTAACCAGTATATTAGGGTGTGAACGACAAATCTCTAATTTTCAGACTCAGTACCTCAAGTGTCACCGGAACGTGTGGCTCATTTCCCAGAAGCAATGGTAGCTGGACAGATGCGTGTGCATGTTTAGAGCTCATGGCTGAGAACAGGCCTTCAGCAGGAGCAAGAGACTCAGTGTTGAAACGAAGAAAGAAATGGAAATTCAAGAGGAGGAATTTTGGTAAAACCACTCTCCAAAGGCTAACTTTTAGATCAGCTCATTAATATAATTCAAGTTTGAAAGGAGTTTTCTAAGACAAATCCCAGCTTATTACACATCAGTATAAAATTCTGATTTATTCAGTTTCAATCTATGTCATATCAACTTTAATTTCAGGCTGTCCTTCAGGCAATAATTTATTAAACTTATAATAATGAGAATCAACCTATATAAATCGAGCTATTATAATGAAAGCTTCACTCCCATGAAGGCTCTCTGAGCTCATTTCAGACTTTTCTAATCCAGTAAGATTCCATTATAACAAAATAAAGGAGCTACTTCCTTGGCACTGTACTCTAGCCAAAGCTAGCTATTTCTGTTGAAGAAACTACCTTCACTCTTAACTAAATTTTATTAACATATTTCAAATCTAAAATACTTTGCCAACTCTATAATAGCCAAGATTTAGGGAAAAAATCAGGACTGACATTTTAACTAGAATATCACTAAACGTTTCTTTAAGACTTTTAAGTGTCAAAATGAAGATGACAACAGAAAAAAAATTAAAATGTGATATATTTCAATGGCACCATCTAAAAGCAACTGGCTGCCATTTAAAAATGAAGCTGCATAAAGCTTCTCCTTCCTACCAAAAAATTATGATATATGAAATGAAAATTCAGGTCACTACTCATAACATCAGTGAGGGAACTTAAACATCAGTCTGCAAACTTATTTCTACAGAACTTCTAAATACAGGTTTATATCAGTTCATACTGGAAAGTGACCATGACATAAGGAACTGTTAGGACCCAACATCCAAAAGCCTGACCTTCATCTCCAGCTCTCTATGAGCTCACTGACAAAGGGGGAGTATAACTCAAAGAACTAATTATTATAAAATCTGTTAACAAGAAATCACAAAAGAGAACTTTTCTCCTTGATTATCCAACTTATCAATTTACCATTTCTCTCAGCACATTTACTTTCCAAAATAAAAAGCAGAGTCTCTCAGTTATCTTGAGACAGAGATACAAGTTTACCATCTCTGGTGACCCAGCACTAGGACTCCAAGGCTGCTCCCATACAACAATAGGGATTAAGACCCTAAACAAAACCAGGCACACTTGTTTAGTAGAAGAGAGGATATATTTAGCATTTACCTAAACATGTATCTTGAACATGTGTGTCTTAACTTCACTTCAAAGTCAACTGTAAAAAAGTTGTGGGTTAACTATTTGGAGCTCTTTCATACAGCAGATATGCATGTTAGCAGCAACCAAATTTTGGACAAGTCTCCCACAGGTTGGTGGAAGCCCTACCAGAAGCTCTACCAGAACAGGGTGCTTACATGCCCCTACTGAACAGAAGGATCACCTCCCGGCCTGAGTGGCTCAGTCAGTTGCGCATAATCCTGTGAACCGAAAGGTTGCCAGGTCGATTCCAGGTCAGGGTACATGCCTGGGTTGCGGGTTCGATCTCTGTTTGGGGCAAGTATAGAAGGCAACAGATGGATGTTTGTCTCTCCCTTCCTCTCTCTAAGCATGCTGAGTGAGGATTAAAAAAATAAAGACCCCCAAACAAAGATAAACATGAAGGTGCACACACAGTTCCACCAGACATAATTAAGGTGCTCTGTGCACCTTGATGCAAAAAAGCATCCTCTGGGAGCTTGACTCACCAGGCCATGCATCCAGAGATTCTGCTTACACAGTACAAGAGGAGCTGAGAACCACAGTTTAACATGCTATCACATTATTAAGTCTAAGGTCACATTAAAAACCAATTTGCCTTTGATTATTTCTTAACATTTGCTGAGATTTTTTTTTCTCTAAAAATAAAATACGTGCTCATTTTATAAAATCTGGAAATATTTTGATATATTTTCTTCACATACATAGCTATTCTATAAAACTTCCTCTATACTATAATTTTGTATCTTGCCTCTTACTTAGTATTAATTATAAAATTTCCCCAAAGAGAAGTATTTATTCCTTGAAAACATGATTTTTAATAGCCCTTAATATTTTATATGGTAAATGTTGGTAAGTAGTTCAGATTTTAATACTGAAAAGATCTACTACTCATTTTATATGTTTATATTTGATGAAACATTTCAACATAATATTATAAAGTTCTGAAAATAAACGAATTACAGAATAGTGGTGGACAGAGTTGTGGCGTAACATTACCAACAAGTGAAGGCAAACTATAAGCAAGCTTACTCTAAAGGCATAAGCAAGAAATGGAAGTAGGTGGCATGAAGAAGTTAAAAGGTGGTAGGAATTATGGCTAAAAAGTTTTCAAAAGAATAAACTAGGCATTTAAGGGCAGCTTAAAGAAAACAAAGTTTAAAACCAGGTCCTTACCATGAAATAACTTAAAATCTAGTTAGGGAGATAAAATAAAACACATAAAAAACTAAAAACAATTAGTGCCATGAGAAGGATATTGGTGTGTGAAATTGGAAATAAATGGAAATAGAATGAGTGCTATGGGAGTTTAAAGGAGTTCAGAAAAGACAGGTACCAGGGAACAAACAGTTACAAAACTCTCCCTTAGAGAGGAAAGAGAAAGTCAGTAATGTTATTTTGTTTATGGCATTCTTCCAGGATCACAAACAAACTACCACACCGAAAATGTTACTGAAATATAAACTGCAAAAGAGAAATCAGCTGAATATTTATCACTGTCCTAATTACAAAGAGTAATATAGGTGAAAGTAAACAGAACTAAATTAGGAGACAGGAGAGGCAGAGCCCTAAACCAGGTTTAATAACAAATAGCTTTAAAGTTAGAAATATAAGATAATATGCTACCTTAAGCAGTTAAAAAATACTTGTTACTGCACATTTTTCATAACTCTAGGTAAAAGAGATAGTAAAAGTGAAGTGACACTGACTCACAGCTAAAATACTTAGAATCACCCATAATAAAGAAGAGTATCATACTTCTAAAATTAAGTACAGTTTAAAGAAGCCTGGGTTACACAGCAGACAGACAGGGTTCCATGCCAGGTCCCCCAGAAGCTATAGCACCGGCACACCTCCCTTCAGAGGCCCGGAGATGACTGGGCAGGTCACAGCCAACTGCAGAGCAGTCAGAATTAACCATGTTTTTTTAACTTGCTCTCTTCTTACAATGGAAACTGTTTAAAGATCCTAAGAAGAAACTAATCTTACCCATAGATTTCAGTATTTTAATTAGTTGTATCAGAGACAAATGCAGCTAATATTCTGCAATTCTATTCAAATGACCCAACTTAACAGTTAAGAATTTTCATTCCAGCCCAGCCGGCTGTGGCTCAGTGGTTAAAGTGTCGACCTAGGATCCAGGCGATCAGGGTTCGATTCCCGGTCAGGGCACATGCCCGGGGTTTCGGGCTGCAGCCGATCAATGACTCTCTCATCATTGATATTTCTATCTCTCTCTCTCCCTTCCTCTCTCTGAAATCAATAAAGATATATTTTAAAAAATTTTAAAAAAAGAATTTTCATTCCTGACACAGCAGCAAACCAAGTATTTCAAAAGGAGTAAGATCCTACAAGTGAGGAAGAAGAGTCCAAAATGACAAGGCCCGAAGGAACGTGAACGAGGGCACCAGCGACTCCCTCTAAAGTCATCCACTTCGCCTCCACTTACGGACATGACGAAGCAACTGGAAAATACAGGAAACTATTTTCATACATAAGATAAAACAGGCAGTACAGACAGTGACCTGTAACACCCAGAAAACAAAGTGAGCCCACGACAGCCCCAGCTTTCTCCACAGAGAAGCCAGGAGTGAAAAGGTAGATTGAAGACACAGCGGGGGGGAGACCAAGTACATTGGTACATTGTTCCAACAGCCCTAGCACCAAAGCCATGCAAGGAGATGAGAAATTTTTTTAATTTAGAAGTATCAGAAAAAAACTAAAGACCAGATCCCTCATGAACAAAGATGAAAAAATCTTTCATAAACTATTAGCAAGTCAATTCCAGTGTTATTAAAAAGCACAATGCACCATAACTAAGCAGAGTGTATGCTAAGAATACAAAGTTAGTTAAACACTCAAATATTAATCAATGTAATTGCCACATTAACAGAATAAAGAAAAAAAATCCTATGACACAGCTCAACAGATGCAGAAAAAGCATTAAGAAATAAATAACCAAACTACAGACTGGGAGAAAATATTTACAACACATATATCTGAAAAAGGACTTGTATCCAAAACACCTCTCTTACTACTAAATTTTAAAAAGCAAAACAACCTTGTTACTTAAAAAAAAAGTGGGAATGGAGGAGTGTCAAAAGACTGAGGCGGCACTCTGCAAAGGAAAATGTATGAATCGCTAATATGCACAATGAAAAAGTGCTCGAAATCAGTCATAAAAAAAAGTGTGCAAACTGAAACTGTGAGACACTACTACACTTCCAATACCATGGCTAAATAACAAACCAACCAACCCAAAGACTGTGTTAAAAGAGGACATGGGGCACCCAGAACTCACATATATGACTGTGGATGTACAAAGTGATACAACCACTCTGGAAATCTGGTACATTTTTATAAATTTAAATATACCAGCAATTCTAGGTATTTACCTAAAACAAATAAAAACCTACATCCATAAAAACACTTGTACAGAATGTTTATAGAAGCTTTATTCATAACAGACAAACACTGGAAACAATCCAAATGCCTATCAACAGGAAACGGAAAGCAAACTATGTCTATACGATACAACACTACTGAACAGTAAGACTGAACAATCAACTGAAACACCAATGGCACAGATGAGCCTGTAAAACAGTGCTGAGCATGAGAAGTCAGAGACAAAACAGTACACACTGCACATGACAATTTATACCATGTTCTAGAACAGGAACAACTTAAACCACAGTGGAAAAAACAGACAAGTGGTTATTTTAAAGATGCAGGAAATAGGGGTTCGACCAGAAAAGGCCACAAGAAATCTTTTTGGGGTGATGGAAATAGTCTACATTTTAACAGGGGTGGGAATTACAAGGTATATGTACTTGCAGTATTCAAACAGTTTAATATCTACATACTTCCTTATAAAAAAACTGTGCCTGAATTTAAAAATGTTCAAAACAATCATTAAAAAAACAATTCAGGTCCAAAAAAGTTAATTCATAAGGAATCATATATATTCCTTTTGCAGAGAGTGTAAAATAAAACAAACCAAAACGGGGGGTGGAATTCTAATTCCAGAATTCTGTAGCCCTTAGCAAAAAAAAAAAGGAGGAGGGACATATGTGGTAATTTGTTCAAATAACAGATACCGTTACCTCCTCTATGTAACTAAAACATGTACTATATAAGTCCGAAAGAACTTTGAGAGAATGAAATTACAAATGTTGGTAAGCCAAAAAATGCATAATATATTGACAAAAATGCATAATATATTGATAACAAAAAAATAGCAGTTAAAATGTCTTTTAGTGCACCAATATATAAACTGACCCGGTTGTTCAAGTACGCTTATGTCAGATGTACTCCTGCCGACTTTTACTCATTACAAACTAATTTCAACATTCTTATAGCCAAAAGAAGGTTCAAAGTGATCACAATTAAATAAATAATTTAATTTACTAAAGTAGAAGGGGAAGGGAAGAAAACTGGAAATACACCGAAATAAGTGACCAAGTAGTTCAGAAGCAAGTGCAAGATAAAATACAGCAAAATTTCATTATGGTAGTATAGTCTTTCAGGATATAAATTTAAAAGGCATCTCATCTACTGTAAATATAGCTAAAATAAAAAGAATGAGCTGAATATTTTTATTCCACATTTGCATACCTCTATGCTTTATTTTTCCCCAAATACTACTGCCACTCGAATTCAAAAGACAGGAGAGGGGCTTTTTGAACTCAAATTATTTAAAACTATAAAGCTACTTTTGTGCCTCATTAAATAGTTATTAAACATTATTAAAACTGTAATACCTTACGGTTTAATTAATTCTAGTTATCGAGGAGGGTTTTTACAAAATAAACAAACTATTATACTAAATCGACAAAAGAGAAAAAGTATTTTCTTACCACTTTCACAACATAGGGTGCATCGCTGCCCACCGATTTTGAAGAATTCTTATCAGCTGTTTGAAAAAAGTGACGTGTAATATCAGAACAAGAAGTAGCATCATTATAAATAGCCTATTACTAACCCTTTATTAACATTTAGGTCTGTATTATCTATAACCTGATAGAATAAATTTCAGTTCCCAAACATGTGTTTCAGCCTATCATTACAGTATATGTATCACAAACTTTAAGACAATTTTTTTTATGTTTTAACATGTCTGAAACTGAAATGCATCTTACAATGGCTGGTATCTTCAATATGATCATCAATTAAGTATGAAAAATTCTAAGTTAAACCTTTAATTCAAAAGTATGCATGGTTTTTGATATGCTAACGTATGTTGTGATTTCCCAAGACAATAACTGATGCAATTTCTTAAATTTAATAAACTAAGGAATCCTTTCAAGTAGGAGTAAGAAAAGAGGGAGCTAAAGTTTCAAAAAATTCACTGGTTTGGGGGGAATAAACTTATCTAGATTCAGGATGTTCGCACTAGAACTCTGAATTGTTATCCAGAATAATTTTAACGTGGCTGTCATTTTATTTCATGCAAATAAAGCACAGTTGCCCTAGAACACTGAGTTAGAAATATAAGGTTGCCCGTATTCATTAAACAAACATTTTTGCCAAGTACCTACTATATGCAAGTTTCTAAGAAACTGATTTAGCAGTGAACAAGAAAAAATAATCCCTACTCTTATGAAGCTAATATTTCAGTGGTAGGACAGAGGCAACAATTAAAATATAAACCATGGCCCTGGCTGGTGTGGTTCAGTGGTTAGAGCATCAGCCTAAGCACGGAAGGGTTGCAGGTTCCATCCCCAGCCCTGGTTGGGGGAAGGGAAGGAGGCAGCCAATCGATGTGTGTCTCTCACATCAGTGTTTCTCTTTCTCTCTCACTCTCCTTCCCTCTCTCCCTTCCACTCTCCTTAAAAATCAATGGAAAAAATATCCTCGGGTGGGGATTAACAAAAACTATACATATAAACTACATCTGAAGGTGATAACTGCTACAGAGGAAAAATTCAGCAGGAAAGGAAGGCAGGTAGTACTGGAAGATAGTAATAGAAACCTCATCCACAGGGTGTCATTGGAGAGCGGTGGTCTGAACGCAGTGAGGGAATGAGCCATATAAAAGTCTGGACGAAGATGATTCCAGGACAACCAGCACCCATGGCCTGAGGTGGGAGCCTCTGGCATGTCTGAGGAAAGCAAAGAGGCCAAAGTAGCTGGAGAAGAATAAATGAGTGGAAAGCAACAGAGGACAGACCAGGAAAGCAGGAGGGGACAAACACAATGAGCTTGATAGGTGACAAAGCTGTCGCTCTGTGAATGAGATGGAGCCACTGGAAATTTTTGAAAAGAAGACTGGCAAGATCAGACTCAATTCTTCAGGATGCTTTGTGGAAAACAGAGCATAGAGGGCAAGGCGGCGAGATCAGTACTCACAGTGAGAGATGGCGGTGGCCTGAACCAGAATGGCAGCAGACAAGGTGGTAAGAAGTGGCCAGATTGTGAACATATTTTCAAAAAAGAGCCAAAGAATTTGTTGATGAATTGGATATGGAGGTTAAGCGGAAGAAAGGAGGTAAAGATGACTCCAGGTTTTTGGCCTGAGCAACTGGAAAGAAGAAGATGCTACTTCCTAAGATGGAGAAAACTGCAAGAGGAGTTGGTGCTGTGGGTGTCTCAAGTTTGAGATGCTTGTTAAACAACCAAGTTCAGATGTTAAATAGGCAGTGGATATACAAGGTGGGATAAAAGTAGGTTTATGTTGTTTGTATGGAAAATAATATAATAATTAATAAATAATAGTACAAGAATTCTGTGTTTCACATACCCACAACTGTAAACCTACTTTTGCTCCACCCTGTATAATCTTGAGTTTCAGAAGAATGGTGTAAGTTAAAAAAAAATGAGAGTCATCAAGCTAGGAATGCTATTCACTGAAAGCCCATGGAACTGCAAGAGATCCCCTAGGAAATGCGTGTAGACAGAAAAGAAACAATCCTAGCACTGAGCCCTAAGGCTTTCTCACATTAGAAGTTGAGATGAGGAGGGACAGGCAAAGGACACCAGGAAACTACCGACCAGCTGGGAAGCAGCTACAATACTTCAGTCTAAAGGAGAAATACCAAGTCATAAAACTGGCTAATGAGCAGAAGGATCAGCCAGGGAAAGTCACTTAAATATTGAATTAGTAATAAAGCACAGTCGATTTTTTTTAAGCAAGCATTGAGTGTACAAAATATTAAAACATGGATAGTATACTAATAATACTGTACAATTCAAACGAAGTAAGGGGGAAAGAAGCTCAATAATTTATTCAAACAATATGTACTGCAAAATATGCCAGGCACTAAGAACACCATAAGAAAACTGTCCCATTTTCAAGAAACACGTTTATTCTGGAAGGAGGAAAAGTCATTTCCATGCAGCAGGAAATGTACTATGAAAGGATTACCACAGGGAAACCGTAACAGGTAATGCCTGCCCTAAACTCAGATCTGGAAAATCGAAGCAAAAGCAGCATCACATACAAAGATCAAGCTGATCACATTGCAGCTGAAGCATAGATTTTGAGGATAAAAGGGATGAATATAAAGTTTTATCAGAACCAGACTGTATGAAGGCCCCTGTATGCCATTCTCAAAACTTGGGTACTTTATCCTAAGGGCACCAGGGAGACATTAAAGATGTTTAAATGGAAGGTCATAAGATCTGATTAGCAGTCTAGGTCACTGACGCCACAGTGTGAACAATGGAATGCAAGGGGACAAGGCTGAGCAGAGGAGATTCACTGCTATAGTGAGAATCCAGGCAAGACATGAAAATGACCTGCACTAGCAAGGTCGTGGCAGCAAAGGCAGAGAGAAATGAATGGATCTGAGGAGTCACTCCAACAGGACTAGATGAGGTGCTAGGGACTGGAGTGAAGGAACACCTGAGAAAGCCTTCCCCATGTCTGGCTTGGGAATGTCATTCATTCAAATGATCTTCTCCTGACCTCAAGAGGATCAGGAGATGGAAGAGGTTGATAGAAGTTTTAGACATGCCTGTGGGACATCACATAGGGATCCCTTGTAGGCCACCAGCTATGGGCCTGCGCTGAGGAGGTCAAGTCCTAGGCTATAAATAAAAGCTGTTGAGAAGAGGACTGGCAAGATCAGACTCTGATTTGGAAACCAACAGTAAAGAGAAAATCAGAGAAGCCATGAGACTGGATAAGATCACTCAGAGAATACGCAGAATAAAGTGAGCCAAAGGAAAGCGGAGAGCACAGAGGTACCTATGAGGATGACTAAACACACCCCAAGAGGTAGAGAAAGCCAGGTGAAGGTATGTTGTCATAAAGACGACGGGAGCAATTTTTAAGCGTGAAAGATAAACAATATCAAATGCTGCAGAAAATACCCAAAGAAAACTCAAAAGCAATCTGTTTAATTCATGAGCAGAAACTGCTGATGACCTTCGATATGGCAGCTGTAGAGAGAGAATCTGTAGGCAGTATTAAAGCAAACCCCTTCTCCAGATTGATCAACCCAGGTTTACAGCAGTGGAGTTTTATCACAGAAATCTTTCAACCATTAAGTATTAAAAATACTTACTATCAGATGGCACTTTCTGATAAAGTACAAAGAGGAATAAAACAGCCAGCACACATGCAAAGCAAATTCCAATGTGCCAAAGGTTACAAAAGCAAAGTAGCTAGCACAAAATGAAGAGCCTGCTTGTTTAAAGACCAGTTCCGTTCCTACCATGGGCTGTCCTAACCCACACATTCTGCAGAGAGACAGCTAATTAATCGGTCAAATAACATATACCTGGCTCATAAAGCTACTAACCTTTCATGGTTTATGAGGAATTTCACCTTCAGTCAGAGATAACCTAGTTCACTGGAATGGGTTTGGCTCTGAACAAAACTAAAGAATCAACACCTATTTCCCACTGACCCAAAGGAATCATGTTTATGAAATATAGTAAAGCAGTGGTTTTCAAACTATATTTCACGAACACACCTCTAGAGACCGGCTAAACAACTTCAGCCCATTGGTCCTGGAGGAGGTACAGCAGGAGCAGCTGCTCTTTTACCTATGTCAGGGGGTCTCAAACTTCAACATGCAGGGGTCCTCTACAGTTTCTGATTGGCAGGTCTGGGTGGACCCTGAGAATTTGCACTTCAAACAGGTTCCCACATGATGGTAATCTACACTACAATATTAGTATTCTGAGAAAGATATTGCTTCAAAGAGAAAAGGGGTTCCACTACTAAAAACAAAAATTTATAAACCTCCAGGCAGAAATTAAATAATTAATGATGACTAACTGAATCGAGATTAGAGGTGGAGTAAGAATACAGAAAAGTTAGAGAGAAATATCAAAAGCAAATATGAAATGCGTTGTATCACTGTAATATTCTTGGTGAAGCAGACAGCTTTAGAAGTAATCAGGTAAAATGTTTTTTTTAAATCAACAATTTAGTTAACCTACAGAATCTCAGGGTTCCACAATAGATCCCCAAAATTTCAAGGTAAATATGCTAAAAAATAGTACATTAAATCAAGCCTAATATGAGTTTCTAGATCATTCTCCTAATTCCACAACGACCACTATTAAGGTTGTATAGGAAGGGGGAAAAATCTACAACTATTAAGATCTGAAAATTGCCAAATTAAACCAAAATAGAGGAATTAAGTTCTCACTGGGTGGAGGTGGGGGGGAAAATGTACATCAATTTCTTTGCATCTCAAAAGAACATATATATATTCCATATAGTCTAAATTTTCTAAAAATTTAGATTTTTCTTAAAAATCTAAAGCCATAGTGCTCGCTGACAATATTACAGATATTCTCTTTTTCAACTGTGACTAAATCAACCATCCTCTTTTCCACTCCTATGTCAGAGATGCATTTTTGCCTACTCATATAACATTAAATTGACTGTAGATTATTAGAAGAAAGCACATAAATCTTTGGCTTGACAATTCATTAGAAGTAGTCATACACTTACCAAGGTATATACAACCAAAGCCACCTTGGCCAATGGGTAATCCTAGTTTCCATTCCTTTTTTGCCAAGTCGGTGATTACCTCACCAGCTGCAAATTGTTCTGCAAGATGTCTCTTTGCAGGGCCCTGTCTTCCAGCTTGAGCTGCTTTAACACGAGGCATTTTCACTAAAATGTAAAACAAAGCAGCACTCAGAATTATAATCCTAGAAGTGTTCAAAACATTTTCCACTACGGAAAGCTTCTGTGCAATACAGGCACTATTCAAAATCCTACTAACTCTAAAATTTAAAGAACACCTGTTCTAATTTATAACCCTATTGGATTCTCTCTTAATTTTGGAGAGAAAACAATAAATAAAATGATTTATGCAATTACTTTCAAGAAAATATTTAATCTAAAGTTCCAGTGATCTAATATCACCTACGACTAAAAATGCTATTTAACAACAACAAAAATGCTCTATGAAGTTGAGGGAGAAAGGTGCACCCAATTAGTATGCACACTTTAGCATAATGCAATGAGTTTATAAAGGTCAATAACGATGTGATAAGAAAACAGCACAGAGATTGAAAACACTAGACAATTAACACGAGGGGAAAGGGAATGATTTTTCTGAACTTAAAAAAAAAAAGTGAAGACCATAATGAAAGGTCACACCACATACTTAACAAAAATCAACCCAGGATGACCAACACTAAGGCACAGCTTAATAAAATCACTGAACTTAATAGTAAAAGAAAATATTCTCTGAGCACCCAGGCCAAAAAAATGATATTTTATATGAAAAGTAAAATCAGATTGTCATCATTGACAGCAACACTTTATGCCAGAAAAGTAACGTATTTAAGACTTGAGGATAGAAACATAAACCAAAGATTTCATACTCAGTTAAATTTCAAGTATGAAGACATCACAATGTTATCAACATGGAAAAAGGGAGTAAGAATCTATCTACTAGAAAACAAGCCTCGGATATCCAAAATGACTAACATAAGAACTGATAGGGAGCAGTAAATAGATATTTACTTATAGAACCTGAAGCTCAACAAAGGCAATAAAGGAAAAGAATACATAATGGCTATATGTTCAGATATAGTACAACTGTGAAAATCAGCGAACATATGCAAAAAAGTAATTATCCAGTACTCATACTGTGGTGATAGCTGGTTTTGTTAACTAGGGCTACTGTACGCACAAATGTGGAATAATGCAAGTGAGTGATTATGTGGTATTTTAATTCTGTCTTCCCCTTGTATCCTTAAAAATCAGGATTCAAATATGGAAGGAAGCAAATATAAATGAAAGAAGGTTAAAAAATGGTGTACACCTGGAAATATATTTAATTCAGAAGATATCTTATCTTTTACAAAAACCACACGAATACACACACACACACACACACACACACACACACCCCGCTACCTACCTTTATATTTCATAACCCCAATCACATAAAAGCTTGGAAACAATAACCAACCCAGTAGTGATGAGCATCCCTGGTACACGAACTGTATTCTTGAAATACCAACTCTTATGAAAAGAAATCAGGTTGAAGAAATGACTGATTCCATGTCTGAAGCTGCAAATGCACAAGATAAACTTGAACACCTGTAGCTTCTAGATATCAAGGAAGCTATCAAAAACTACTAGAGTGATGTCAAATATGTCTAAGGATTCAGCGTGAAAGATGTTCCCACTGACCAAAAATGAGCAACTGTGTCTACAAAAATAACCACCACAACTGATTAATACATATAAAATGGGTAAATCCAAGAGTTTACAACAGTAAGAAATCCTGAGTGGTCACCTGTAGAAGGTAAACGGAAAACCGCTCAATTTTGAAAAGTGATAAGCAAAGGGCAAGAATTTATCCTCTCTTCTGAGATAAACTGCACTGCTGGGTAACCCACAGAAGATGAAGAGAAAGTTCTTCTTACATAAAAATCTCAGCTAAATAAATGACTAAGAATGGTTTAGATTAACACTGTTTCTCCCTCCTAATGAATTAATGAATCTAGATACCTAACCTCGATAGCTACAAACATCAAAATATAAGAGATATCCAGGCATTATGTGCCTCCTGATATAATAAGAACACACCACTACGCATGAAACAATCTAGCCAAAAAATAAAAAATAGAGTCTGAATCTGATCAAGCCTACCAATTCACAGGCTCTGAAAAGAACAGAACAACATGATAAACTGTAACACAGAAAAGCATCTGCACAACCCTAACTGTGGAAATCCTACAGTACACAGATCCTTAATTTCTTCAATGAAGGAAAAAAAGAAGAGATGGGGAAACAACAAACAAAAACTAGATTTAAAAAGACTGAAAAACAACATGTAAAACAAAGCTAAATCAGGCAAATCTAAGCTTCAGTGTTTAGGGATGCACATTTGAGTGACAATACTGTAAAGAAAAGGAAATGGCTTTCATAAAAAATAGAAGTTACACTGGAAAAGCATGAGAAAGTTGTGATGAGAATGAGGCACTTGGCTGGCAAAGTTCTATTTCTTGATGTAGTGGTGGTTATAAAAGTACCTCATAATTCATTAAGTCTTATTTGCTTGATAAGGTTTTCTGTATTGGTAAATAGCTTATGGTTACAGACATTTAAAAAATTACTGTTCCTATAATTAACAATCACCAAGGGATCAAAACCAGAAATCTTTTCATATTCCATAAGCTTGTCCAATCACAAAACAAAAAAAAGAAAGAAAAGACCCCCAAGTAAAAGCTATACTTCACTTCCTGTGAACAACGGGCAGCATTTTTTTAATTTAGAGGCACTTCTTATACGTTATAGTAAAGAAATTAGCTCTTTGTACTGCAAAGTTTTCCCAACTTATTTGTCTTTTGATATTGTTTATTTTGGATTTTACATCATCCTTAGACCTCACCCAAATTACTTTATTCAAGTATCTCCCATGTTTTCCTTTAGTTGTTTTATGGTTTCATATTTTGATGGTAAAATTCTGATCTGTCTACACTGACAATGGTGTAAGATATAGGGTAGGAATACACCTTTTTCCACATTATCCAGTTCTCCTCCTCAGAAGAACCACAGTCTTCAAGGAACTTATAGCACACCAACCCAAGTAAACTAAATACAAAGTTCTTATGAAGTTGTTCAACGTAGGTCCTAGATCATCAGCTTCTCTGCAAACAAAAAAGACAAAAAGAAGAAAAGGAAAAATAGATTCATTAGTATTTGAAACTAACTTTCTGCTTAGGTGAAAACCTCCCTCACACTTTGGTCCATTCCACATGAATGTGAAGAAGTCACTCAGGTTTTTCCCAGGCACAGCCAAGCTGAGCAGAGGCAGCCACATACTGTGGGGCCACTTGTAGCTGCAGACAAATAGCCAGGAGGCCAGGAACCTGTAAACCAAGTGGCAGCTTTGGACAGCATCAGAATAGGAACCAACAAGTTTCGCTTTTTTCCTTTCTTCTTACTCTTCTTTTTTGCTTTGTTTTGTTTTGTTTTTCTTCTCTTTTTTCCTTAATCTTTCCTATCTCTTTCCTTTTCTATTTCCTTTCTTTTTTATTTTGTTATACTTTTATTCTCATTTTCTTTTTCTAATCTTTTTTTGTCCTTTCCTTTCATATTTTTTCTTCTTTTATTCTTTTTTCTTTTGTCTTTTATTATTCTTCTCTTTTCTCATTTTTCTTTCCTTACTCTTTTTGGTGGTGGTGGTGGTGGTGGTGGTGATGGTGATGGGGTTTTTTTCAGGGGGGGTTGTTTTGCTTTGTTTTGTCTATTTTGTTCTGTCAGCACTTGCATGATGTGGTCAGAGTTGAACCTCACAGTCAGCCACCCTGAGGATCAGTCCCACACATGAACGGGCCAACAGCAAGCAAGACCAAATTACAACAGGAGGGCCCACATAATCCACATAAGGAGCATTCCCAGAGCATCCAGCTCAAGGAATCAAGGGCATTGCAACACTGGGTCCCACAGGACACCAACTACATAAGGCCACCCCACAAAGACTGAAAGTCATAGCAGATCTATTTAATTTATAGAAGCAAACATAAAGAGGCAGCCGAAATGGGGAAATGGGGAAACAAAGAAACTGGCATGAAAGAACAGAAAGAATCTCCAGAAAAAGAACTAAATGAAATGGAGGCGAGCAATTTATCAGATATTTAGTTCAAAGTAATGGTTATAAGGATGCTCAAGGAACTTAGTGAGAATTATAAGAAACTTAGTGGGAACTACAACAGCATGAAAAAAGAAATAGAAACCATGAATAAGAATATTGAAGAATACTGTATCAAGAATATACTAGAAGGAATTCAAAGTAGACTGGACGAAGCAGAGGATCGAATCAATAATTTGGAAGACAAGGTAGAAAAAACACACCCATTTCAAGCTGCAAAAAGAAAAACACTTAAAAAGAATGGGGATACTTGAAGGAACTTCGGGACAACATGAAATGTAACAATATCTGCATCACAGGGGTAACAGAAGGAGAAGGAAATGAGCAGAAATAAAGAACCTGTTAAAAAAAATAGTAACAGAAAACTTCCCTAACCTGATGAAGTTGAAAAAGTCACACAAGTTTAAGAAGCACAGAGTCCCAATCAAGATGAACCCAAAGAGACCCACACCTAGACACATCATAATGAAAACAGCAAATATTAAACTCAAAGAAAGAATCTTAAAGGCAGCAAGAGACAAGAAAGTTACCTACAAGGGAGTTCCCATTAGACTGTCATGTCAGCTGATTTCTCAACAGAAATACTTCAGGCCAGAAGGGATTGGCATGAAATATTCAAAGTAATGAAAAGCAAGGATCTGAATCTAAGATGACTCTATCCAGCAAGGCTATCATTTAAAATTGAAGGTGAAATAAAGAGCTTCCCAGACAAAAAAAGACTAGGAGTACATTACCATCAAAACCAACACTGCAATAAAATGTTAAACAGACGGCTGTAAGACGAAGAAATGAGAGAAACATACATATAAAGAAAAAAATGGCAATAAATAAGTACATATCAACAATAACCTTAAGTGTAAATGGATTAAATGCTCCTATCAGAAGACATAGGATAGTAGAATAGATAAGAAAATATAACCCATATATATGCTGTCTACAGAGGCCCACCTCAGAACAAAAGATTCACACAGACTGAAAGTGAAGGGATGGAAAAACATATTCCATGCAAATGGAAACCAAAAAAAAGCCGGGGTAGCAATACTCATATCTGACAAAATAGACTTCGAAACAAAGGCCATAAAAGAGACAAAGAAGGTCACTACATAATACTAAAGGGATCAACCCAACAAGAAAATACAACCCTTGTAAACATATATGCACCCAATATAGGAGCACCTAAATACATTAATAAAAGAACCTTAGCGGACTTTAAGGGAGAGACTGACAGCAATAGTCATAGTAGGGAACTTTAACACTGCATTGACATCACTGGATAGATCTTCCAGACAAAAAAATCAACAAGGAAACAACAACCTCAAACAACATACTATATAGAACATCTCATCCCAAAGTGACAGAATATACATTCTTCTCAAGTGCACATGGAACATTCTCAAAGATAGGCCACATGATAGGACACAAAATAAGTCTTAACAAATTCAAGAAGACTGAAATTATATCAAGCATCTTCTTGGATCACAATCGCATGAAACTGGAAAACAACAATAAAACAACTCAAAACATTCAAACACATGGAAGCTAAATAGCATGTTATTAAACAATGACTGGCTTACCAATGAGAGCAAGGAAAATATCAAAAGTTACCTGGAAACAAATGAAAATGAACATACAACAACACAAAATCTATGAGACACAACAAAAGCAGTTCTGAGAAGGAAGTTCATAGCATTACTGGCCTACCTTAAGAAACAAGAAAAATCTCAAATAAACAATGTAACCTTACACCTGAAAAGAACTACAAAAAGAACAAACAAAGCCCAAAGTAGAAGGAAGAAAATAATAAAGATCAGAGTGGAAATATATGACAGAGACTAAAAAAACAATACTAAAGATCAATCAAACCAAGAGCTGGTTTTCTGAAAAGATAAACAAGATTGATGAACCTTTAACCAGATTCATCAAGAAACAAAGAGAGAGCACTCAAATAAACAAAATCAAAAATGAAAGAGAAGTAACAACTGACATCACAGAAATACAAAGGATAATACCACCAATTGGATAACCTGGGAGAAATGGACAAATTCCTAGAAACAGATAATCTTTCATGACTGAATCAAGAAGAATCAGAAAACCTGAGTAGACCGATAACAACTAATGAAACTGAAGCTGTAATTAAAAAAACTCCCAGCAAACAAAAGCCCTGGACCAGATGGCTTCACAGGCAAACTTTACCGAACATTCAACAAACTAACACCTATCCTCCTGAAACTATTCCAAAAAATTTGAGAGAAAGAAAGACTTGCAAGCTCTTTTTACAAGGCAAGCATCATCCTAATTTCAAAATTAGATAAAACACTACAAAGAAAGAAAATTATAGGCCAATATCCCTAATAAACATAGATAGTCAGATCGGATCCAGTAACACATTAAAAAGATCAAACACCATGATCAAGTGGGATTTATTCCAGGGACGCAAGGTTGGTACAATATTTGCAAATCAATAAATGTAATACATCACATAAACAAAATGAAAGATAAAAATCACATGATCATATCAATAGATGGAGAAAAAGTATTTGATAAAATCCAACACCCATTTATGATAAAAACCTCAGCAAAGTGCCAGTGATCAAGGGCTGGCTTCTGCTGGGTGCAGGGGAGCAATGGTAGTAGATTAGTAAACATTTGGTCAAATAACACATCTTTAAAATGTTGAGAGAAACAAAAGACCTAAGCAATTTGCATTTGGTATGCCACTAACTTGCACAGGGCAAATTTAACATGATAACCATTCCTTAAAAAAAAAAGTCATTATCTAATAAAGGTTATGATCGTTACAGTGTGCTGCTAGATTCTACTTGCTATTATTTTATTTAGAAATAAAATTGATACACATAAGTAAATTTTTCTACTATATTTATCTGTTTTGATATCAATATTATGCTCACTTCATAAAAAGAATTTAGGAGTTTTTCTTCTTTTACCACAATATAGAGTTTAAACAGCATTTAAATTATCTAGTCCTTAAAGGTTTTGAAAACCTCAACTGTGAAAGCCTGACAATGCGAGGTACGGGCAAGGATGCAGCAAGTGGAGTTCTCATACACTGAACACTGCTTCAACCATTGTGAAAATCTGACTGGCAGTGGCTGAGCCAGCAACTCCTCTTCTGTGTATCACCCAAGAGAAGTGAAAACGTGTCTACCAAGACATCTACAAGAATGATAATAGCAGCTTTATTCAAAGTAGTCAAGCACTAGAAACTCACATATACATATAATAAAATACATATAATAAAATGGATGAACTTCCCAAACATTGTTTAGAAAAAGTCACACACAAGACGACATGCTGTATGATTCCACTTATGTGAAGTGTAATAACAGACAGAACTAATTAATCCATGATGACAGAAGTTAAATAGAGATACCATTTGGGGGAGGACACGACTCAGAGTTGGCAGGGGAAAGTTTCTGAGGATACAGGAATGCTCTATATCCCAATCTGGATGATACTTAAACTGTGTGTTCACTTCAAAAAAATTAATCAAGTTGTATGCTTATGATATATTTCATTCTGTTTTTTATTTATGTAATATTAACACCATAAGTTATACAAATCATATGTTATGGCAGTCAGGAGCCAGTCAGGAGATAAAAAATACACAAGTAACTTAAACAAAAAAATTTAATATACAAAATTATTAATTTGTAAGATAGTGAACTACTAAAAGGGGTAAAAGCATAGCAAATGCAGGAAGCAGTTAATACCTACAAGGCTAATGGAAAGTACACAAAAAGGAACTCTTTGTGGGACAACCTGTGGCTACAGCCCACTGAGTGGCAGGCTTCTCTAGGGTGCCTGTGGGCTAAAGCGGATCCACAGGAATCTGCCCACTGGGGTACTGTGGGAACATGCTGCCTCCTGGGGTGCTAAAGAATGTCACAGAGAGTAAGCTTGGCTAGCAGTCACACCTTAAAAGTGAGAAGGAAAAGAACACTGCATCACAAGAGAAGCCCCTTTCCCATTATGCCTTGCAGTGTCCCTCCCTTACCCTCT